CCATGTTGGGCTTCTAGACATGTGAGCTGTGGCCTAAACCCTGTGAACCTTTTGTTCTTGTTTGTTGTGCCATCGCGGACGCCAGTCGCAATACTGACTCGCCCAGGGAATAGCTGACGCGGACGCATCTTTTCAAACTGTACTGACGCGAACGCGAACTATCGCGGCTTGATTTCAAGCTACTGCACCTCATTTCACTGACGCGGCTACAATTGGAACCTTTTTGTCAGCTGCAAAGCTAAGCAATCTTCGCAAAGACTATGGCCATGGGAATGTTCATGTTTTACTGACGCGAACTATCGCGCACACCATAAAAGCTGACCTGACCAATCCTTACTTCAATGTTTATATAAACTCCCACATGGGGGGGTTTTGGCCGCCACTCATGTATTATGAGGATTGCAGGGAGGATCACGACAACGTGTTGTATAATCTAAGGATAATTTTGGAAAACTTCCTCTGCATCCTCGCGGGTGCTACTCGCGTTTTGAGAAGTGAGAGAACTGCCCGTTTGACTGATAATCCTCCAGGCATTCTACCTCTTTGAAACCATAGTACCCCTTAAGTAGATAGAACATGGGGTATACGGGGATCTTACTATAATATACCCAAAGCAGTATTCTATCTACTTAAGGGGGACTACAACCCTATGGGCGTCCAATTTTTCGAGGCTCACGGCTGTCGCCAGAACTAATCCGCTAAACCTTGCTAACAGGTGAATAGGAACAGGACCGGCACACCATCAGCCACGAAGTGGGGCAAGGAGTGGGCGGCGGGAAGATATCTTGCCTTCGGAAAATCCTTGAGGCCTTGTGAAACATCCTCCGGAGCCACTCATTTCCCCCTTTCCCAAAACCCCCTCTACCTTCTGATGATTAGGAGATTTCTCTAAGTTAGGAGTCCTTTTTTAGCAGGGTCCCATAGTATGGAATATAGTATATTGGGGTCTATATTGGGGTCCCCCTACTTCGGAAGCTAGGCGCCCTGCTGGGCTGGCCCTGCGACTGGACTGCGCTGCTTGCATTATCCGGCCTTAGGCTTACCGGGGGGTTAGCAGGGAATATGGGAATACATTATGTAGGGATATATGGGGATATACTGGGGTTATATAGGGAATGCATTCCGTGAATTATTCCCTACTAACCACCAGTAAGAAGGATCTGGGGCAGGTTCGGGGTGCAAAGAATATCGAAGGGGATCGATGTTTTGCATCTGCCTTGCATGAAGAGCCCTGTTAGAACAACCTGCAACGAACAATCCAGCTCCCGGCGTTCAGTGCAAGAACCCGACCAAAACGTTGCATTTCACAATGGTCACTCCCAATCGTGGGTGTAGCTGCAGCTGTCACGTGGCGCAGGAAGGCCAGGCAAAAGAATGCAGAAAACGGATGGGGCTACGGCATTTGAAACCTGATAGCTCACGCGTAGGTAGCTCTTGACATTGAAATTTCGCTCAGTCTGCAAGCTGCTATTTTGGGCCCACAAACGAGGACCGGGAACATGTCGTCACAGTCTTTCCAAGATGCAGGCACCGCAGGCAGCGTCAGATCGTTTTGAGTTCTTCTGAATCCTTGCAATGATCCATCGGGGTGAGAAAAGGGAGGCGAGGGAGGGCCACTGCCATCTGCGGTGCTCAACTATGCTGAACAGCCAACGGGAAACAAGTCTCCTGATGGTGGAGTGCACGACTTTGGGCTGCAGTAGCAGTAGACCAAGTCTTCGCAGGAGCTGGACGAGCGCCTGCATGTCACAATGTCACTGCTGCGGGGTCCAAACCAAACAGAGCTTGCCAGCAAAGCTTCGTGGAACTCAGTTAAGTACGTGAAACTCTCGCACTTCCTGCCTGGGAGTCGTGAAGGTCACATTGATTGGGGGCAGCTGCGTGAGGGCATCAACTTGTGTCATGCCCGACCTGAGAGCCGATGGATCAAATGCTCAGCAACAAGACTAACAGAACCATCTTGTGGACTGCAGCTAAGCTCCCAAAAATGATCCAATTGCAAACCCGGTGGCGGCCAATCCTCCAAGACCACTGACTGCAAACGGCGGCTGGTCGTGGTAGTCATCTCAGCATGAGACATGCTTCTGCACGGTGGTCACAAGGCTTGGTCTAGCAGGGAGCTGAGACACGGCAGGTGTTGTGCTCAATTTTGGTGCAGCTTAGATGAGAACACCCACCGAAGCAGCACCGCTGTACTCAGCTGAAGCCTTGACTGTCTTACACCGCAGCTGCACAACCTCTGCTCAATGCAATATGCTGCTCAATACAGAAGTATGGCCCACACGAATTCCAGCGCCTTCGCGTGGAGCACATCCTGCTGCAAGCATCATAAAGTTTTGACAGAGGAAGGATCCGCAGACATGCGCTGGATGATTCTCATGTTGCAAGCTGGCGGCCTGTGTCAAGGATGCCGGTCGAGGTCCGCTCACAATGAGCGACAAGCTGACAGATGAGCACCTGACCCAAAAACAAAGAAAGAGTCTGCATTCAGGAAGTGCACAATCCTCGTCCAAACGGAATCACTTAAAAGCAGCTTCCAGCCCCCCATTTTCATTGCAGCGGGGACGGTGGTAGTGTTAGGGCCACAGCGAGGCTGCCGAAGATGTCTGCGTGTAGCACATGCAAGTGGCAGCCTCAACCAGCAGTCAAGATTTTAAGTCGCGGCACATCACAGCCACCAAAAATCATCCTCTACCTCCTGGACCGCTATCACGCAACTGAAAGGGCGCGGCTTGAGACGTAGGCCACGAGGACAGATTATCTGAGCATCCAGGTTGGCAAATTTACGCAGAACAGTGTCAGAACAGGATAGCACGTGAAATGGTCGCGCCGTGTGGTCTGAATGTCATGTGCCAACTGCCCAGCGCAGATGTGTCTGCTGTGGCATAAGATTCCGGCTGTTTGGTGTGCTGGCTAGATCACACCAGTGTAGCGCACACCTGCAAAGTTCTGGTGAGGTACAGCGCTATAGGCCGCGCTAGTTTTTTAGGCACTGTACTTGAGTAGCACAGACATTTAACAGTACTCACAACTAGCAACATGGGAACTGCTTCCTTCCGAACACGTTTCATTGGTAGTCGCAAATGCTCCGGGCACCATCTATCATGGCTCTTTGCCAGACACACTGAGCAGCCCGGCGATGACAACCCGCCTCGGCGAGTGAAAGTTCAGAGAAAGTATGGCAACTGCCAGACTATAGTGGAACTGCCAGGGTAAGGAGGCACTGTGGATCATATCAGGCATGAGCCATCAGCCCCACAAGGGTGGAGGATCAAAAAAAACAAATAAGGATCAAAAAAAAAATCTGAGGATCAAGAAAAAAACACATAAGGATCAAAAAAAAATCGTGGATTTCATAGTAAAACTGGTAGAACGGAGACAAGTCCGGGGATCAAAAACAAAACAAAACGTGACTCAAAACTAATGAAAACCTGCAGAATTTGGAGGATCAAAAAACAACAAAACCCGGATCAAAAAAAACACAAAATCTTAGGATCCAAAAAAAAAAATAAGGGTCAAAAAAAACAATACGCTGGTGAAAATTCGTGAAACTCTTGTTGAAAAATAATGGAAAATAACTAAAAATGCTTCAAAATTCATGGAAAATGATGACAATGGTGAAAGCATGACGAAACTGATGAAAAATTATGAAAATGATGAAACATGGCGAGAAATGATGAAAGATGATGAAAGATGATGAAAATTTACA